ATTATGTATTTTTTTATCTTAACAATCATACATACTTAACATGCTTCTTTTTTGAAAATTCGGGGTTTATTCTAATTGTTCCTTTCACTCTTTGGTTGTTACTTTTCTAATACAGGATGAGGCTGTTTATAAGAGAAGGCTTTGTGAATATAACTTGTGTTCGGGTATTGTAGGTTATATATTAGAAAATAAACTAAACTTTAGAAATAATTTCTTTACAGAAATGAATTAAATGCTGATATATAGGCCTACTGTGTATTTAAGTTTTTACACCCCTTAAAATCAAGAAGGCCTTGTGACCCCTTGTGGGCGTCCCGACCCGTAGGTTGAGAACCACTGTCTCATATGATCCATAGCCCCTTTTTTATAAGAATAGAACAAGGTTTGCAAGGAAATCAAGGAGCTGTTGGGAGTTGCAAGTAAGTTAACAGTCCTCCAACTATATAGAAACAGGGCTGACTACAGGTTGTCGCTGCGACATCACTCGTAGGACAATATTTCACGCTACATTTACTAGAGCTCGCTCGCTGTATGTGAGGAAGCGGGGTCATGGTGTATTTAAATCCAGTTAAATCTCTGTCTCTGTCTGTGGGGCTGAAACCCTGTCCCTCTCTTTCCCCGAGATGCATTTAAAACCATAAGATAGCATGCTGTTTAATCCAAGTCAGAACACAGGCCTATGCTTGTTTGAGGTTTGACAACCAACATTCAAGTCTCACAAACACACCAGAAACAAAAGTCAGTCAGACCTTTCTATTTAAATTTGTTTCCAAATAAGTTTTAATGAATCAGGGAATGCAATGAATGAACTGCCCTATGGGTGGAAGGTGTGAAAAATACATTTGGATATACATTGGTCACAGCATGCTTAATGGCCCCCATGTGTGATACACAGTCTATCACTCATTGTGCTGACAGAACCACACTAAGCCAGTGAGCACTCAGATGTTTAGTAAAAATAAGCTGAAGGCAGATGATAGATGCTGTCAGTTGGAATACAACACCTGATCTTATCCCGAATGTGAGACAAAATGATTTGGCCTTTTTATGTCAACTGTTTCCTTGCTCTTAAACGCTGTCGAGCTGTTTTGCCTCTGGCTTAATTGTTCTTACATGTCGATAAAATGAGGATAATGACTGCATTCACGATGAATGGGTTTATTGCACAAAGCTCTCCGGATGTGGTCGTCCCCATGCTGTGTTGTGTCATTGTGTGCTCAGCTACACCTGGGGAGCACAGGCCTCTGAATAGCGGTGTGATAGGCTAATTGTTTCAGTTGATGATTGATCATTTGTGTAATGATTTTGTGGTGCTTTATTATCTTGCATAATGTAGGTTAGTGCAAACTCTCACACAAAACACCTCTCTCTTTCTTCTAATGTGTGTATGGGCATGAGACTGGATGGGGTGACGAGCTGGTTGCAGCTGGTTCCTTCTTGTACTGGCCTGCAGGTAGCACAGACCCTGCCCTTCCTCTCTCTGCTGGCCAGTGGATGGCACTTGACGGTCAGACCATCACTAATATTACAACATAACAGCAATTCCTGCACAGACGTATCACACATTTACAGTTGAAAGGGTAAAAAAAATGCAGAATCTCAAAGGAAATGAATGTGAATGAATGTGTAGTCTATTGAGACAGTTCAGTGAATAGTTAATAAAACTGTGCAAGGCTACTGAGCGTGAGTGCATTTGAGCAGGTAGGTCACTGACTGCAGATTTCCATTTGGACTGTAATATTGGCATTTAGTCACAATTCACTCCAATGTGTTGAAAATAAAGTTTGAATAATGAAATATTCTACACAAACAAAACAATTACATACATTACATACATATCATAATATATATATTTTAAATATTTATTGTGATTAAAGGTT